TACTGTACTACATTAACATATGAGAACTGATTTAGGGAGATCAAAAAAGTTTTTTTAAACTCAATTATATATAACTATATACAGTAAAACCTAAATTATTAATTATGTTTTAATTTCGTTATAAATAATCGGTGAATTTCAAGCTGTCATTTTTCTGGATCAGCTCTCATATAAAAAAAATTTGGTTCTAAACCTTTATTTGCTGTATAACAGCCAAAATACTTTAAGTGCATCCTTTTTTATAGTCATGAATTTTTTTCAAAAACTTTATTACTTAGTTCTTATAATAACGTTTAAGCATGTATTCGTGTTTTGTCTAATTCCTAGCCCTAGAACTTTTCAGAGTGGTGTTCTAATTGGATCTAAATTTTATTTTTTTGGTGGCTACACTGGAGCATTATCAGATTTTAATGCGCAGGTTGTGTATAGTAATGAAGTATGGTATCTTGACTTATCAAATTCATTTAATACGGATTCGCCTCCATGGATAAAAAGTGCTGCTATGTTTCAATTTGGTCATGGTCATTCAACAGTGTGCCTTAGCTCATTTGACAAAACCACAGCTTTCTTAATTGGTGGAGTAGAATATAATCAAACGAATAATTATATGCCATTTATCCCTCCGTTCATATATGCTTTTAATTCAAGCGAATCTTCATTAACACCTTTAAATATTTCCGGTTATAATTATTATCTTCAGTCAATGCAAGCAGTGATTGATGATGATGGAAAAATCTTTATATTTGGTGGATATAGTGATACTCTTGGTTCTATGTCTAGTGACATGATTATGTTTGATATTAATTCGATGAGTTTGACACATCTTAATACGCTTAATGCACCTCAAACTCTAGAACTTTATGCTGCTGTTTTATTAAAAAATGGCATCATAATCTATACTGGTGGAGCTAAAAATACAAGTCTAGGTCTGGCTGAGGTTAATATGATTGAGGTAATTTAACTTAGATTATGAATATATTTATTTAGTAAATCATCGATCATTTGGATTATGATAATAAAATAAAATAAAAATCTAGATTCCGACATTCGATACAAAATCTTTAACGTGGTCTATTACAGTATGTATTTATAATTTATAATAATACAACTATTAATTTTTTAATTTTTTCATCAATTAATATCTATTTTATTTAGAACGCCTCTGGTAGTCCAGTCGGATCTCGTTATCGTCATTCAGCAGTTTTAAGTAAGTAAATATTTAATTTTTTTGTGCGATTTTTTTATTTATTTTGGTTTTCAATATTTTTATTTTACTAGCCCAGGATGATCGAGTTATAATATTTGGTGGTGGACATGGTGGTCTACCTAATAATACTGATTATTCTGATCCACCATCTCAACTTCTTGCAGTCCTGGATACAAGTGTTACACCCTATAGTTGGTCAATTCCAAACCCTAGTGGTCCTGGTCCAAAATCGCTCTTTAGTCACTCTGTGGCAATTTACGGAAATTATATGTTTATTGCATTTGGTAATATAATAAATTTTAAATTTTTTTTAGTTAAAAATAAAATTTTATTTATTATAATTTTATTTACTTAGGTTGTGCAAAATTAAGTGCACTTAATAATGAAGTTTATATTCTTGATACACGAAATTATAAATGGATTACGGCTTACGATGCATTAGTTTCTAATACGACTAATTTTCCTGACCGTTTTAATTCAAATGTTTCTAACACATCAAACATTAAATTAATTATTGGTTTCTTGGTTGGCATTTTTTGTTTAGTTTGTTTTGTAATTGTCGGATTCTTAATTTATAAAAAAATACATCACCGCGAAAAAATTATTAAAATACCCGGCTCCTCCAAAATTAATGAAATTATTGAAATATCTGGCTCTTCCAACACATAATAGTTTGTCTGACATTACAGTATTGTATACTCAAACTACCTCTATATAGATTGAATACAACGGGTATTAATAGTAAATTAATGTCTGACGTTCAGTAGCAATTTGTAGTGAAATACCAGATATCAAATAGGAGGTTTTACGTGATTTGCAGTTATAAAAAAGGCAATCAGCCAGTTGTATAAGAAGATACAATCAATAGAATAATAAATGTAATAAATGAATATCAATAAATTGAATATATATGAGATAATCGAGAAGAAACTTCTCGGTAATCACGTGATCAAGGTCGTTAAGTCACTTAACGATTGAGGTTGGACTAATTTGTGTATGAAGATACGACTTTTATTTTTATTAAATAAGTAGCTGCGCACATTGTCGCGCCAAACCAAGAACGAATGAATGTAAGCTTAATTTAGAAAATGTTGGAACAGATATTAAAAATAGGGGTATTTCACACTATAGATGCAGTATAACGTCAATGAACGTACGTTGAGAGAGTGTAAACTTGATCGGGACTGGAAAAATTGGGTGATATGGATACCAATCTACACTAAACTATCTAACACAACTCTAAACAACCACTAAACTCTATCAACCCTAATAGTGGAAGGCACGAAAGAAGGCGTGGA